CATGTGTGTGTGTGTCTCTCTCTGTGTGTGTGCGCGTGTGTGTCTCTCTGTGTGTGTGTGCGCGTGTGTGTCTCTCTGTGTGTGTGTGTGTGTGTGTGTGCGTGTGTGTCTCTGTGTGTGCGCGCATGTGTGTGTTTGTGTCTCTCTGTGTGTGCGAGTGAGTGAGTGAGCGTGTGTGTGCGTGCGTGTGTCTCTCTGTGTGTGCGCGTGTGTGTGTGTTTGTGTCTCTCTGTGTGTGCGAGTGAGTGAGTGAGCGTGTGTGTGCGTGCGTGTGTCTCTCTGTGTGTGCGCGTGTGTGTGTGTTTGTGTCTCTCTGTGTGTGCGAGTGAGTGCGTGTCTGCGTGTGTGTGTGTGTTTATGCTACATATAGAAAATATCGTTTGGTCAGAATAAAAACAATAGAAGTCTATGAAAAGTCCCCACAATCCACAGAAACCTGTGTGAGTGATCTGCTTACTACAATCACTTCACACACACACACACACTCACTCGCACCACACAACACTAAACACTCACACACAGTTTTCTGAGTAGCGCTCACAGTCATAAACACGCAAACCGCCGTGACACTGAAACTCTCTCATCAGCACAAAAGCTGGTGAGCAGCTCAGAGAAACAGCGCGGTACTCACGGCGTCCTCCGCTCAGTCCGAACCGAATCTGACGCCGCAGCTCCGCCGCACTCACCTGGACTGCTGCTGGGGGGAGATGGGGGCGGGGCCTGACGCTCCTCTGAGGACGCGGCTGATTGGATGCAGGTGACGCCATTGACCAATGAGGAGCGTAGGATATTTTTAACTTTGTACAGCTCTTTAAAACGCTCATATGGAGCCGTTTACTATCATCTGGTACAGATTTGAGGAGGAGGCTGCTGAAATATCACTCCACCCACCCAAACACACACACACTGAGCCTTACGTTGTTCTTGGATCCTTAAGAAATGATGTAATTCACTCTGAATGTCAGACACACACACAAAAGAATGTAACATATCACAGTAACATTGATCCTCACACACTTTCAGAACATCCTGCCTGAAATCAAGAATTGCACAAATATAAAGATCCTTATCATTGTAAATGACACACATTCACGCCTCATGCTTCACACACACACACACACACACACACATTAGCACATTAGTGTGTGTTGCTTCCTCTGCTGCTGAAGATATTCATTTACATTTGTACTAAAACTGACATTAAAGGCTCTTTGTTATTATTAAATGTGGCAAATATCATCAGGAATCAGTCCAGATCCGCACAAACTAGTGTTCAGATTAAAGTGCCAGTAATATTACGCCTCATACATTCATCATTAAATACAGAGACTATAACATAATCATTCTCAGCTTTATCTGTTGCAGCTCCAGATATCGACCACACGGCCATTGCTTTTTTTCAGACAAAACTCCAATATCATATAAATACATCATTGAGGGAGAAATGTCGCTATACAGCAAAAATAGCAAATAATCCAAACGTAAAAAGTGTCAGGTTCTCATTAAATTCAAGTTTCTTTTTTGAACTGAGAGGTTTATACACTCATGATTGCTAAAATCTCAGAATCCATCATTTATTCTTTAATATCTTTCTTAAATTTCACTTTATTTTTATTAAAGGTTCAAGCGTGTAGCACTGAAACACTATTGTAATTGTTAGAAAGGCCAAGGATCATTAATCTCCACCTAAAACTGATCGGGCAGACCAAACCGTGAGTCGTAGAGACTTGAAACTTGGAGGGATGGTAGTACTCCCACCGTCTACAACTGCACCAAAGCTCGCCCCGATCGGCCTGACGGGGGCGCTGCAGCGATCAAAAGTACGACATCGCTCATAACTCCTAAACCGGATTTTTTGAAAAATCTACTTTTGCAAACCAGTCCTAGGTTTCTCGCCCTATCGGAACCAAACCAGTGCAGAAAGATTCTCTGGAGAGTGAATATCAATAAATATAAAAATAAAAACTTTAACTTTTTCAATCACTATCGCAAAGGGACACCAAAACTAAAGGGGCGGGGCCACTTTTACTAAAACGGCTTTAACTTCTGAACGGAATGAGATATCTTCGCCAAACTCAGATCAGTCATGTAACAGCTCAATCTGAGGTCACATGAATAAAATCACGGAGCTTGCCACTTGGTGGCGCTATATGAGGGGAAAAAAACTTCAAAATGGCTATAACTACGCAACCATTTGTCCGATCAACATGAAAATTGGGATGGGGCGTCTTTATCCAAAGTGCCACAAGTGTCTATAAGGACATTTGCGTATCTCAGAAAACATGGCCGCCAATGAAGTTTGAGCACCTATTAGACAAGGTTAACAGAGGCTGATCGGAACGAAACTCAGTGGGCCTGTTTGACTCATGGCCCTAAAGGTCTGTGAGAAATTTGAGAGAAATCGGCCACTGGGGGGGTGATATCGCATTTTTCAAGGACGTAAATTATTGTATATTGTGCGGTTTTTCCACACATACACACAATGTTCATTCTGAACAACTTTGCCTATAGAAACACTGCTGTCAATCAAATCGTTTGTTGAATATGTAAAAGTAAAATCTCGAGAAAAAAAAAACAGTGCAGTATGTTTCTCTGGACTCTCTAGGTTAAAAAATTATTTAAAAAAAGTTGAACTTTACCTTTTGGGTTGCTATAACAAGGTTGTTCAAAAGAGCGGTGTGTCCAAATATACCCAAAAGCCTATAAATCGAAAACTCAACTTCACGAAACTAGGTGAACATATGCAAGAGGTAATTTTAAACAAGCATGCAAAATGTCATGCTTATCGGACCACAGGTGGCGCTATAACAGTCATAACCGTTAAAAATCATATTTCTATGCCAAATTATCTGGATTTTCCAAAAAAGCTTTTTAAATCATTGATTTAGGTGGTTACAGTTTTGATAAATAATATGTAACGTCTTTTTTCACGTGCTTAAATGCCTTAAAGCGCTCGATCCCTGATAATCACTGCTTGCTGCTACATTTATTTCTTATTTTCCTACAGGTTAAGCTGAAGAACTAAAATAGCTACAAATAAACAAACTTCATAAATTTTATAGACAAACTACTTAACTACTAAAATTTCAAAATTGTAATTAACTTCTATATTATATATTAACTATATTATTTTGTTGAATTTCCATCAGTTGTGATTTTTAAAACAGCATATCAGTTTCTACTAAAAAATAACCTGAAAAACCATGTTGCTTCGTAACAATTAAACTTGCCTGACAAAACATCACTCAGAAAAACACTCAGACACACAAATGACTTTACAAACATTTATTTCCTCAACAAGAGAAAAACAATGAGTGGAAACTGCAAAATTAAAGCATTTCACTTCTGCTCTACAGGGCAACATCCATGAAACCAAACGAAACGAAAAATCAGAAGGAAATTAAACGTTTTGCTTCAGCGTGTAAAGACGTGACAAACTGAAATCATCTCAAGAGGCACATCAACAGTCACATGACACACGCGTGCATCTAATCAGACCAAACGCACATGCGTAGAGGGGCGGAGCAATCCTGTGATTGGACGAACACAAGGCAGGCTTTATTCTGATTGGTCCTCAGGCTGCATTTCTGCCCTGATCCAGGGTCAGCTTTCATATAAAGTTCAAAGGTTTAGGATGTAGAAGTGATTCTTCAAATGGACACTAATCAGCGGTTTCTTTAACGATTATTCGGCCAGTACGGCATCAGCGTCTCCTGCATCAACGCCGTGCTCAGCCGCCTCCTCCTCGCCCACCTCCACACCCTCCTCCACGCCCTCCTCTGCCTCCATCTTCGCATCCTCTTCATGCCCCTCCCCATTTCCAACAGCTTCTGCGACAGGCTCCGCCCCCTCTGCCAGAGGCCCCTCCTCTTCCTGTTTGATCTCATTCAGGCTTTCATTGGTGAGATCAGCCTCAGAAACCTCCATCCCCATGGAGTCCTCGGGATCCTGGTCATCCTGGTTACCGTTGAACGGATTTTCACCCTGCGAAACGACAAACGCAACTCAAAAACTTACAAATAAAACAATATTTCAAACAAAAGTAACACAAAGTAACGTGTATATATTTATAGCGCGCTCGTTTTGTCCTTTGAAAAAGGGCATAAATCAACACTAGCCATACACTACACCGTAACAAATGTTTTCAAATTTGTAAATAAAGAGTATGCTTCACGAGAAAATACAATTTAAAATGTCACGTTTAATTCAGGTTATTTGCTGTTTCCTTGTAATTACTTGGTTTATTTATATTTATAAGGTGTCCTTGTTACGGTGTCCTTATAGACATAAGTGCGGAGTAATATTAATTAGCTACATGTACTTACTATATGGTTAGGATTTAGGTTTGGCTTAGGGTTACTTGCATGTAATTATGCATAATTAATTGTTATTATAATAGTAAGTACATGTAACGTGTAACAAGGGCACTTGAAAATAAAGTGTTACAAAATTTACAAGCAATTTCTGGGAGAAAATAGTTTTTTATAACAGATAGTAGGGGTGGGCGTTTCACGGTATGACTAATTGTATTTCACGGTAACGATATATTTCATGATATAGTTATTTATACATGTAGTGACATATAGAGTGTCATTTTTAAAACAAGTCAAAGTTAAAAACCGCATACATATTGCAAAATACGGTTTTCATGACCACAAAATCCACAATATGCTGAAGTACAGCATGTGACACGTGAGAGACAGACACACACCTTCAGGTAGCTCTCCAGCTTCTTGCCGATGACCTTGTGGTTGAGGATGCTGCGCGCCACGGACAGACTCGACCTCTTGGACTGCTCCATCATGCCCTGACACACACAGACAGAGGTCAGAGGTCATGCGAGCACTTCACCGGCAGCTCAAAGCCTCGGATTGATCTGAAGGGCGTTTGTACCTTGCGATTGTAGTTGTGGTCAGGGGACTTGAGGTGCTTCTGGATCAGCGTGTGCTGCATGGGAATGAAGACGTCGCACGCCGAGCAGTGAGCCGCCTCCACCTTCTTCATGAAGTGCTCCATGCCGAGATCTACAGACAGGAAGTGACATCATGAGGAGCTCTGCAGCTGGAATAAACATGCCTCTGCTGTTTGAGGGAGACCGCGCACCTCGCGTCAGATCCTGCTCTTTGAACACCTGGCAGATGACGGTGCTGTGGTTGTCCATCTGACTCACTCGCTGCTCCGTCTTCTTGTACTTATTATTCAGATATTCCTAAAACACACACAACGGCCGTTAGGACGTCACACTGCACTCAACTCAGTTCACTTGTGAGTGAAGCGTCCGCACCTGCAGGAAGTCGGTGGTGGGCTTGGACAGCTGATTGGACAGGAACTTGAAGTGGTCCTTGTGGAACTTGCTCTCCAGATGGACGGCCATGTCCTCGCTGTAGAACGAGCGGAACTTGCAGACGGAGCAGGCGAACGTCATCCTGGGAAACAACCGGAGAACAACGCCCTCGTGAGCCACAAACACGCCCGGGAAGCAAGCACTCAGCACAGATGGCAAGGAACCTGACCTGTGTGCAGACACTTTGACCCCTGACCTTTCAAAGAAGCCCCTCCTCTTCCTGACTTTGGCCGCAGCGGGCGGAGTCTTCTTCCCCTTGGCCTGGGCACTCTCGTCCTGATTGGATGGCGCTGGAGAGAGAGAGTGTCACATGCCAACACTGTTTTTTCAGCATCTCACGCCATGAGCGTTGAGAGGCTTTTTAACATTGTGATGCATTTCTGAGTCAAACAGGATTTCAGTAAGATAAAGTAAGTAGTACAGGACTTGACATCCATCCAGGTATTCATTGGGTTCAATTAGTCAAGACATTTAAGAGTGAACGAAGACTAATGAAGCACATGCAATCATGCAACCATAAACACACAAAGCAGACAGGGTTTTCACAGGAAGTGGACCAGTTTAACTGCATATAGTGCAGCACATCAAATTTTTTTAGTTTTTTCACTAATAAGTTTAAAAACGTGAATAATTAGGAAGTAAAATAATAAAAGTCTGGGGTTTTTATGTTGCAGAAGAAAGGAAACTCACCAGCACTTTCTCCTCCATCTTCTGTTTTGGACTCCTGGAGAGCAGAGAGAAATGTTATTTGTATTTCTGGATAATTCACTATGTTTTCACGACACATGACAAATGAGTGTGAACGTACACCGGCGGTGGCTGCCGCTTCCTCGGACTCCTGCGTCTGCTCTCCCGCCGCAGCGTCTGAAACACAGCCACACTCATCAGCAATCACAGACAGGAAGCTGAAGACCAGCGGTCATCATGGGAAACGCATGCGCTCGTACCGGTGGCCGTCGTGTCTCCCGCGGTGTCGGTTTTGCCCATCTTGGACTCTGGCTCGTCGGCAGCGCTCAGAGTCTGTTTCCTCTTCTTCTGCCCGTCGCGCTGAGCTTTCACTTGCTGCCACGACAACACACATGCAAATGAGATCTGTAGTCGTGAGGGTCAGAGTCAATGATGAGAGGATTTACAGTGTTAGCTGAGCTACCCTGACTGTGTGACACTTTACACAGCTACCCCTCTTGGTGTTTGTCAGTG